CAGAGTTGGAACAGACTTGGCTAAACTCTATTAGGGGCAAACTTCCAGCACTAGTCTTACTCAACTCCAGGTGGGGGCAAACAATTGTTTTCTTTTCAAACCAACCTAGACCTGAGTAAGACACCTCTCCACACCTTTATCCCATTCAAATACACTTATGACATCAAAGTTGCAACAGACTTAAGCAGCTCTGACTAGAGAACACAGTCTTCAGTACTGATCTCACTTAGCACCAGGTGGGCGCAAACAATTGTTTTTCAAAACCAACCTGGACCTAAGTAAGACCCTCTTCTTTTCATTACAAAGCCAAGCACAACCATGCAACATATTCATTAAACAGACCGAGCATCCATTAGGTCCTGAGGTCCAAATAGTGCTCGGCCGGGGGCAAATAGTACAGAACTATACGAAGCATCTATTCGAAATAGTACAGAACCAGACCGAGCATCCATTCGGTCCTGAGGTCCCAATCAGCTTGCTTGTTTTCATTTTTCAAAAAACACTTTTCAAAAAATTTTACTTTCTTATTTTCCGTGTTTTTTTGTTTTTACTGAATTTTTTTAATATTTTAAGCAATTTTTTTTTTAACTTTTTAGACACACCTAACATAAATACACCTCAAAAGTAAAACAATTATAAAAAAAATCCTTTAAAAATTCACTAAATACCAAAAATACAAAAAAAAAAATAATACAAGAATTCAGTACATTTTTTGTATTTTTATGTATTTATTAATTTTTAAAAATATTTTTTCACAAATCTTTTACGTTTTTAGATACATCTAAGTAAGGTGCATCTAAAAAAGTAAAAAAAAATATTTAAAAATTAAAAAATATTCACTAAAAACAAAAAAACACGAAAACCAAAAAACTTAATCTAGAAAACTCAAACCAAACACACTGATTCTCGGCCGGGGGAAAACAGCACAGAAACATTCAGATGTAAAAGCCAGAAAGTATCAGATTGCAAAATCAAAAGGAAAATTCCATCATCCAACAAAGGCACAGATGGCCTCATAACCAGTAACAAAGAAAAGAAGAAAAATTGTCTCGACAAACATAAGAGGGCAACTCGTCAAGGAAAACCGAGCCGCAGTACATAAAAAACATGAAAACAAAAGAAAGTCCAAAAAGCAAAAACCTCAAATCTTTCCAAAGAAAACTTCAGCTTTCATCAACAGAGGGAACCTCAGGAGCAACGTCCACGATCTTGTCCAAGCCGTCTTGGGGAGGAAAAGTAGAGGCAGCTCCAACTTCTTGAGAAGTAGAAGCTTCCTTAACCACATCTCCCGCGGCTTCAGTCTCCAGGGTTCCACCCCCTTCAACATTCACCATTTCAATGGAAACATCACTCTCCTGAGTCTTGGTTGCCGAATCAATTTCTGGGGAAACCTCAGCCGGAAGAACTGCAGGGGTAGAGACAATCTTTGAACCTAAGGACCTTGAGGGAACTGGGACATCCTGAAATAGGGTAGAACCTTCAGGAACTTGAGCAGCTGCTAGAGCACTTGACCAACCCTTCAGAAAGAGCTTGTCCCACAGCACCAGCACCTCCTCTTTATAGGCAGCCCCAGCTTCGTCCCAACCTTGTTGCCAATACTTTGCCTCCAACGCAAAACGCTTAGCAGCCATCACCACGATAACAGTCACTAGCTCTGCCACTTTTCCTTTAAGCTGGGCCTACATGCCAATGACAGCCTCCTTTGACTTTTCAGCTGAGGCAACAACCTTGTTCAGACGGAATGCCTCCTTCTCGGCAGTTCTACGTCCTTCTTTCTCGGCCTCCAGGCTTACTGTCAGTCTCTCAACGTTCATAGCGGCCTCCAGTACGGCCTTCTCTAGTTCCTCTGCTTTGGTGATGGATAGATGCATCCTCTGAATACACTATAACGGATTGTAAAGTATTAAAGGAAAAGGAAGCAGCAGCATAACACCAAAAAACATGCAAAACAAGAATGCACTTACAGCAGCTATCATCTGAAAGGTCCCCTTCAGAATAGGAATATCGCGGGGCTCGTTATGATCAGCCATGTCTACCGATATCAATAGAGTCTTGGTCAAGTCAAAAGCAAAATCTTTGGAAGCAATAACTGAATTAGAAGTAGAAATGGGCCTGCCTTGATGCAACATTTGCAGTTCCCACTTCTCAAATACCTTGTCTTCAATAGGATCTTCAGAAACTTCCCCAACTACTGCCTTGCCAGTCTCTCTCCTCCTCTTCTTCGCTCTTGCAGCAACTCAAGTGGAGGGCTCAGCAGTAGTAGCATGAGTTCTAGAAGCTCCAACCTCAAATTTCACATCCATGAGGCTCTTCGCCTCGGCCTTCACCAAAGGAGTCTCAAAAGCATCAAAGGCGCCAAAAGCCTCAGCCTTCAAATCCGCTAGCACTCTTCTCTTCGATACAAACCCACCCCCTGCGAAACTGGGGGCAGGAGATGGCGTCCTCTCAGACAGTGCACCCTGGCTTCGGAGGCGATTCGTAACCAGAGGGGTGAGGGATGTATCAGTCTCAGTGTCAGAATCTAGAAGGGATGCAGCAAGCCTCGCCTTCTTCGGAATCGTGGAGTGGTAAGTCGCTTGGTAATCCAACAGCTCGGGCGCGGACCTCTTCTTGTACCTTAGAACGGCTTTGATGGTCTCAGTGTTTTCTCGGTTCGACTTGCGCTGAAAACGGGAAGCCTCTGCAAAAAACAAAGTGCCATATTAAAGCAACATCTAAAACAAGGCAAGAAATACAAAAGACACTAGAGGGAAGGATTCGAACCTGGATATCCATCCTTCTAGGGCATCCGTTCGGACTAGAATTCAGTCCCAGCAGGGAACTCCCAGTTACCACCGACTTGTAGAAAAACATCATTATGTTTGTCTGAATTAGGCAAACCAGTCACCAGAAGACAATCGATCGAACGAACACGTAGGTAGTACGTGTTGTGATCCTTGTTGTGCGAAAGAGTGTAGCAGGCAGCCTAAAATGTCCCAGACGTCAAGATTCAAACCCAAACGCTTGTTGAGAGCGGACACACCACAGACGACACGGAGCAGGTTAACGGACACTTGCATTGGGGTGAGTTGAACTTGGTGTAGAAATCGGCGCACCAAAAGGTCGAGGGAAAACCGAACCCCTCCCTTAACGATGGCCGTAATCGGAAAGGCAACAGTACTCCTAGTGCCCATACGCTTGGCATCGACCTTTGCCAGCGAAAGGGTCACATCATCGAGGATATTATAACCACGACGAAACATGGCCATGGCCTCAAGAGTATCAACTAATGAGTGGAACTTCCCCATTAAACAAACCTAATGGGATAGGGGTAGAACTCAGGTAATAAGATATGGAATACAACGGTGCAAGAGCCAAATGAGGCGATCAAAACAAAAAAAGATAGGGAAGAAGAATCACAGGAGAACTTACAGAGATTAGAGCAGCGGTGGCGAGCAGGCGGTGCTGAAGCAAGAGCAGCAGCGGAACGTCTAGACAGAGCACCAACGAGACTGATTCAGAGGAACAGAAAGGGCTTTTTTTGAAACTCTCTAGAAGAATGAAAAGCAGATAAACGATTTTGGATTGACAGCCCAGGGCATTTATTGCAACAGCCGGCGTGAAGGTACACGAAGCACGACCATCAGTATGGAATCGGCGCATTATCTCTGCACACCTATCCCACGCCGCCACGTGTCACCATGAAAGGACGCATGTAGGGGTTGCGTGTTAGGATTGAACCGTCACCAAGGCCGAACTGGGGCAGAATCGAAGCGACGCGACGCTTGGAGTACAAAACCATAGCTCCCCATAAGGGAAACCTTAGGGCGAGCTAGGGGGCAAATGAATGGGCTAAATAAGAAATGGGTCAGACTCAAACCTTGGGCCGGTCTAATCCCCTAAGACCAAATCCAAATGGGTCAGATGAGCATGTGGGCAACCCAATTAAGCCCAACTCAATTACTAACAGTCCACCTAAGTCCTTAAGCACTTGGGCCCAACTTATAGTGGAAAGGCTAGTCTAGCTGCGATACTGGGCTAGGGCCGAGCTACAGGACCCATTCTATGGGCCGAGTCCATACACAAATATTTGAATGGGCCAGGCCATCCCAACAGTAGCCTCGCAAAGGGCCGAGTCGAGGCACAACGGTGCCGAGCTGGGGGAACCTCTCAAAGAAACGTGGAAGCTATGAGTATATGCATGTGCAAGTTGCTACCTTAGCTGGTCCCCTACACCTAGAATCATGGAAGGAGTTAAACCAGAAGAATGTGGTTTGTTATCAGCATGACTACAATGAGTATAAGCACCTCTAGACAACTACCAGGTGGTCCCCCACCTGGGGCCATGCTAAAAGGAAACTTGGCAACACCAGAGCTCCATGAAACCATCTTGGGAAACAAGCAAGGAGCTCTATATAAACTATACTAACTTCACATTGAAGATAACTGATCTAAGCTGAACCACACTTACTAAAAACTCAACTCTCTACAGTTTTTCTCCGACCACTGATTCCCACACTGGAGGGGTTATCCGGCCAACCCCGGTTGGACAGCTCTTACGGTGCTTCTTGCTATAGGGACCTCATTCCTTGGATAGTCCAACCAAATGCGGAGCCCCGATCCACTTTCATCTAGTGCAGTATCCGGAACGCATAGTGACTTTTTTCTGTCTAGACTTTCTCCATGAGTAAAACATAAGATCAAACTAAATCTAGTTTTTTTAGCTTCAAATGGTATGAGATGCAAAATGAATGGATCTCAAACTTTAAAAAAAATAAAAAATAAAATCAACATCACCAAAAGAAGAAAACTAAAAAATAAACTATGCTTTAGCAAACATTGGGGAAGCTGCTTTACACAAATAATTGTAGGAGATATTTCTATAGAAATATTGAAATCCCAAATATAATATTGTCCTCGTTTTCAATATCATTCTCTATTTTTTTTCTTTTTATTTTATTTTTGGGTCTCAATTTCAATGTATTTATACAAATGCTGACAGTGGAGTAACAATTTTGCAGAATTGGGGACTTGTACGTCAAGAGATGTATAAAAGTACGGATTTAGCAAACCAATGCACTCATAGGTAGGCAATCGAATCCTTATTAATTTCAACAGTTGTAACCTAAATTCTGAATTGTTTTGATGAATATGACCTATTTTATTGTGAGCTATGATGCACAATGTAATTTTCTTTTGCTACATAACACACTATAACATATAACATTTTTAAAAATTAAATTTTAATTTTTAAAAGTAAAAATTTTGTTACAAAAGACATTTAGAGACCAATTTCTATCGTTATTAGGATAGTCGTTAAAAAGTTATCCTGAAAAGTAAAAAATAAGAATTTTAGTGACAAAATTTTGAAAATGTCACTAATAAATAGATTTTTAGGAACAAAATAATTTAGTCTCAAAATGGTTTATTTTTTTAGTCAAAAAATTTAGTCCCAAAAAGAAAATAATTCATCACTAATGTTTAATTTTCGTTACTAAAATTATTATAATGACATTTTTCATAACAAAAATATTTAGTTCTTAAAAAATAATTTTATCCATTAATTTTGATCTCTAAAATCTTAATTTTTTTATAATGATATGAGTGTAAATTTATTCATATACATATGAATAATACAGATCACTTCATTGATTCATTTTGTACTTTCGGTGAGAGCATTTTATTGGTTCAATCAATAAGAAAGTGTGTATTTGCTAGTTGTATATTATTATAGATGTATCTTATTTATTTGTATTGTATCTCTCTCAATCTCTATCTCCTTCTATGCTTATCTCTATCTTTTTTGTACCTATCTAGGTTTTCTTTCTGCCTATATATACAGGCTTCTCCTATTGTATTATTTATTCAATTCAATATAGAGTTTCTTCTTTCTCTTCTCTCACTATTTTCATAACATGGTATCAGAGCCTAGGATTCTCTCCTAGACTTTTTTTTCTCACATTTTTTTGGCAGTTTGCTTCTGTCCCTAGTTTGTTTCTGCTGGCTTCTGCATATCTAGTTCATCCATCTTTTCACATTTGGACTATACCATCCTCTTCGTCTCTTCACGACGAAGCCAACGCCACCAGACTCGCTACCATAGGCACATCCACGAGCCTTCACGCGCTTCCAAACGAGTGGCGTATCGTTCACCATCGTTCCCACTCTCACCATGCTCTGCACGCATCGTCTCAGCTGGCCTCCATCAACTTCAGCCCCTCGGCTCCCGCTTTAACAGATTCACTCTCGGGTCACCATCGACTTTCGCCTCAGCCGACTCCCTTCGGCTTCTGCCCCAGCCGATTCCCCATTGGCTTCCGCCCGGCTTCTCTTAGCCACGTGCTGCTTTACTAAAATTATTATAATGACATTTTTCATAACAAAAATATTTAGTTCTTAAAAAATAATTTTATTCATTAATTTTGATCTCTAAAATCTTAATTTTTTATAATGATATGAGTGTAAATTTATTCATATACATATGAATAATACAGATCACTTCATTGATTCATTTTGTACTTTCGGTGAGAGCATTTTATTGGTTCAATCAATAAGAAAGTGTGTATTTGCTAGTTGTATATTATTATAGATGTATCTTATTTATTTGTATTGTATCTCTCTCAATCTCTATCTCCTTCTATGCTTATCTCTATCTTTTTTGTACCTATCTAGGTTTTCTTTCTGCCTATATATACAGGCTTCTCCTATTGTATTATTTATTCAATTCAATATAGAGTTTCTTCTTTCTCTTCTCTCACTATTTTCATAACATGGTATCAGAGCCTAGGATTCTCTCCTAGACTTTTTTTTCTCACATTTTTTTGGCAGTTTGCTTCTGTCCCTAGTTTGTTTCTGCTGGCTTCTGCATATCTAGTTCATCCATCTTTTCACATTTGGACTATACCATCCTCTTCGTCTCTTCACGACGAAGCCAACGCCACCAGACTCGCTACCATAGGCACATCCACGAGCCTTCACGCGCTTCCAAACGAGTGGCGTATCGTTCACCCTCGTTCCCACTCTCACCACGCTCCGCACGCATCGTCTTAGCTGGCCTCCATCAACTTCAGCCCCTCGGCTTCCGCTTTAACAGATTCACTCTCGGGTCACCATCGACTTTCGCCTCAGCCGACTCCCTTCGGCTTCTGCCCCAGCCGATTCCCCATTGGCTTCCGCCCGGCTTCTCTTAGCCACGTGCTGCTTCCGCCCAGCTTGTCCAGCCATTTTTTTCCTTTCTCAGTTACTGACGTCAGCTCTCCGCAGCCGCTGACATCAGCCCTAATCAGCCACACACTAGCTACTGACATCATCCAGCCACAGGGCTAACATTAGCCCTACTTGTCCCTAAGGTTTTCCAGCCTTCTGAATCTGTTGGTGACCTCTGTTTTGGAACTTATGGATCGTACAGAGAACATCCAATCTATTTCTGTTATCCTTGATGAGTCCAATTATGTTAGTTGGGCTCAAGCTCTCTTTAGCTTCATTAAAGGGAAACGCCTTTGGCGGATTATTACTGGTACTCTTTCCAAACCCAACCAAAAGGAGGATGAGACGGACTCTACATTCGATGACCATCTTGACGAATGGAAAAGTAAGAATTATCAAATTATCACATGGTTCCAGGCTACCTCAGTTCCTTCCATCAACCTTTAATTTGGACGCTTTCAGGATGATGACTCCTTTGCCTCTCCTGTCAAAGCAATTTGGAATTTTTTGAAGGAACGCTATCAGATCACTGGCTATGCTCATCAATATCAACTGTTGCAGACTCTTCATCACATGCGCCAAGCACCCGGTCTGTCTCTCAATGACTTCCTATCCCACATGTCATCCGTTTGGGACCAGCTCGCTCTTTCTAAACCTCCATGGGCTCATTCTGATGATGCACAACTATTTATTACTTATCGGAATCATCAGCGACTATTACAGTTTCTTATGGCTCTTCATAGCACTTTTGAGCCCATGCGTGCTTCTTTACTTCATCGTTTGCCCTTGCCCACTTTAGAGCAAGCCATTACTGAGCTCCTATCAGGGGAGACTCATTTTGGGAGTCTCAGATCTCCCGACATGGATTCTGTTCTTGCTACTCCATCTTCTCAGAGTTCCTCATCTTCACAGCCACTCATATGCAATTATTGTCGCAACCAAGGCCTGCCAGCCAATCATTCTTTTGTTCACTACGAGGTTCGCGAATGCTTGACTTGTCATAAGACTGCTCCGGGCCATCTCCAAAGCAATTGTCCTCGAGCTCCCTCCACTACTTCATTTAAGAAAGGGGCTTCTCGTTCTGGGTCTCAGTCCAAATTTAACCACGGTTCTCACTCTGCTGCTGTTGCCTCTGAGGGTTTCTTTGCTCCTTCTTTCTCTATGGATGATGTTGAGTCCATTATCCACCAGGTGCTCAACAACTCGGGTACTCCTCCTTCTACTGCTCTTTCAGTAACCTCAGGTAACTCTTCATGGTATTTTGATTCCGCATGCTGTAATCACATGACTTCTGACTCCACTCTATTTTTTTCTTTGTCATTGTGGAGAAGTGGTTTGAAAATACTCCTCTGATCTTGGGGGACGCTCGTGATCCTCTGCTAGCCACCTAAAAATGAATAAACACCTCGGTCGGGGGTGCCGGAATTAGCACTCCGATGAGCAAGTCAGTCTTTACACTCAGGATTACTTATATTCTAAGTTAAGCTTAATAGTTTTCACATACCTTTTCCTGGATGATGTCCTTCTATTTATATCTTTTCTTTCTTGGGCCTTGGGATCGGGTCCACTTTCAATTCGCCATTCGGCTTCAACTGTAACAAACCGCTTTTCACTCGACTCTTTGCTCGACTGGCTATTGGGCCGAATGGGATAGGGTTCGAGCTTTTGAGATGACGCCGAGTGCTATAAATTTCGACCCAGAGTTCGACATATTCGGCCCTCACAATTGCCCCCCAAGCACTCCACTAATCGACAATTGGCTGGAGTGTTTGGTTTCGGACTCGAAAAGTCAGAGCCGAAATTCGGCGGCTGACCTCATTCTAACGCAAATGTCTGAGCACACGTTTCTCAGTTATCACTTCAACTTCCCGCCCTTCCGTACACTTTTATTTATTGTGATTTAAAATTTGAACGTCTTTTCAAATACATACACACTTTTAGACGCTCGTCGCTGGACTGCCTTCCGAATTACTTTTGCAACTTCCTTTTCTTTACTATCTTCCTCGTCTCTTGTAAGTTCTCTCCCTCTATGCCTTGAATCTTTTATCTTGCTTTGTTTTTGACTTAGCACAATCCTATAGACTGAAAGAAATGGAAAAACATTTAAAAGATCTCATTTCTTCGGATCGAATCTCTGGCTTTCGACGCCATTTCTCTATTCTTGATGACGTCCGTTTGTCGCTTGTGACAGACGGCACCCTCGATATGGAAAGGGCTGATGAAACCACGATTGTCTTCCCTCTCCTGTCAATCGTAGAGGGTGGAGTCCTTTTTTCCCTTCACCCATTCCTTAGGGTTGTGCTTTGCCATTGGGGCTTAATCCCTTCCTAACCCAATGCCAACTTTTTTAGAATCGTAATGGGGATTATCGCACTAAGCCGACTTAGGATTAATCTTGGAACCCCTCCTATTCGGCATTGTTATGCCTTGGCCAAGTCTTCCGGTCGGCACGGGCGTTACTTTCTTAGGGCCAAGGACACTGACCATCAACTAGTGACTATGCTTTCCAGCTCTGGGAAGCGAGTCGATGATGTTATGGTCGTTGTCCAAGGTAATTGGTAATTCAGCGAAGGCGAGGATCGCCTCAATCTTATCCCTAGACGGAGGGGCGAACCAGGTGGCCGTGTAGCTTCTTTTATTTGTTTTTTGTTATATTTATAAAGCTTCATTTTCGAGACCTCATGGTTTTGCTTGTGCAGGGAACGATTTGAAGAAAGTCTTGACTTCAACCGACGACGCCGTTCTTTTGGAAATCAAGGTTGTGCTCAGATATTTTGGCCGGCCGAGTCTTCAAAAATAGGGGAGGACGGCCCACGTTCTTCTCCGCTACGACCCGACTTATATGACCTTCTCGGCGGCAGAAAATATCCCAGTTCTGAAGGGTGAGGAGTTTCTTATCGCCCTTATCTTGACCGATTTCAAAAATTTGACGCAAGTCAGTTTCGAGGGGTCCGATTCGGAACGACCAAAAGTAGCTGAGGTTGCCGAGTCTGATCAGTCCGAAACTGAAGTCGACAAGGCTTTGAAGTTAGCCTTTGAGGAAGCCGGCCTCAACTCAGCCGACCCTCCGTCCACTTCGGGCGGAGAGGACCTTCCACTTGACGATATTTTTCACGGTCTAGAGGACCTTCCTGGTGCGTACCCCAAAGATATGGTTGGGTTAAGCCTCACACAACTTGCCAAGAAGGCGAACGCGAAAATGATGGCAGCACGGCGAAGGGTAGAGGCCATTTGAGCTGGAGTGCCTCCTGCTACCGAATCTCAGCCCCCTTTGCCTATTATTGAGGAGGGAACGGCAGAAAAATGAAGTGCCGAGGCCAAGTTGGTTGTGCAGGCCGATCAAGAGGCTGAACAAAGGGCAGAGAAGCGCCCTGCCAAGGTTTAGGCCGGCTCAGAAGATAATCGCACCGACAAACGACCTCGTTTAGAGGAATCGGATGTGATCGTGCCTTTCGTAATTCAACCGAAGATAAAAAAACACGCCGATCCCCTGTGATGCTTCGTTAATTAAAGATCCAGCGGTCGCTCTCAGCATGGCTACGTCCGTTTCACTGTCGGCTGACAAGGCAGCTTTCCGGGTGGAGCCGGATCTGGTTGCAATAGCATTGGCTGCGCAGTCGGCACTTTTGGTATATATCTTGACTTTGTCTATTCACTTTATGCAAATACTATTTTGGTCCTAACTTCCTATTTTGCAGACCGTCGAAAGGATAGTAGAGATGGGCCGTCGCCATCACGACGCCATCGAACAGCTCGACCGTCTTCAAACGGGAGTTGAGGGCCAAAGGAGCAGGGCCGAATTCGAGGCTTTAAGGGCGAAGATGGAAGGCGCATGGGCCGAGGCCGAAATGGAGAGGGCACGGAATACGGATGAACTGAGGTTATCCACCGAGAAGAGGGCGGACGCGAGCAAAGAGGCGCTGAAATTGGCCCAGGAGGCGGTCTCCAAGCTGGAGCCTGAGTTGGAGGAAGTAAAGAAGGCGAAGGAAGCAGCCGACTTAGAGACTTCTAAGGCATTCGAGGCCGAGAAAAGTGCTGCCTTCGCCGAATATGTAGACGAAGTCCCCAAATTTGAAAATTGGGGATTCAAACACGGCTGGCTCAAAGCTCTTGCTGCTGCTGATGTGACATTGGCTATGCCAATTCCATACGAGCAAGTGGATATTGAGCTGCAAGAGTCTGACTCTGAGGATTAATTTGGGCCACACCTTTTTTGTTGTTTTATTTTTTGAATGTATTTTTACAATTTTTTGTTTGGTAATGTTCATGTGTAAAATGGCTACAATTTGTGCCCAATTTCCTAATGAAAATTTCCTTTTTTGCCTTGCTCTTATCTGTGCTGAATTTTGTTATTGATGAATGATATTGCTTTTGCGTGCAAAATGGCTGCACTTTGTTTTTAATACCAAGTATTGATTGGCATTGGGTTTAAATATTTGGCCGATCATATTAATAAATCTGCCCTTGCCCCAGCCAATGCACGAGCTTTATAAGCCGAATAGAACTAGTTCGTGGAATGACTGCGGCATAGATCGATTGGTATTGGGCTTAAATACTTGGTCGATCAGATTAATAAATCTTCCCTTGCCCCAGTCAGTGCACGAGCTTCATTAGCCGAATAGGTCTAGTTCGTGGAATGGCTGCGGCATCCGTTGATCGGCGTTTGGCTTAAATATTTGGCCGATAAGATTAGTAAATCTGTCCTTGCCCAAGCTAGTGCACGAGCTTCATTAGCCGAATAGGCCTAGTTCGTGGAATGGCTGCGACATATATCGATCGGCATGTGGCTTCTGGCATTTGGCATTAATGATGTTGCCTCGGGGGCGCTGCATACATACGAATAAATGGGGTGAGTTCACGCCAGTGACTCCACTTATTTTTATTCAGACTCGATTTAAACTAGCTTGGGGTAAGTGCGAATGTCAAATAGAGTTTTGTTCAACAGCAGAGAAGAAGCGCGAACTTTGGCTGAGCTTGATATTGCAATGAATCGCAGCAGCGAACCCACCCGCGCGGGAGGTAGGGCGTCCAAAGAACGGAAAAAACGTCAGCCTCCAAGTCGTCGAAGCAGATCACCCTAAAAGGAGAAACAACAACGGGGAAGTTCTCCGCGACCGCAACCAAGAAATGAGGCCGACGTGGCGCTGCGACCATTGAGTTTTGCAGTTTTCATGGGGAATAAACCGATGATGGAGGCGGACTACATTATCAAGGACCCGGGTGTGGCGGTCGAGTTTGCTTGACAGATTTTTCCATCGGAGGTCCAACAGTCGATGGTTGGTCAACAAGATTTCGATGTATTTCGAGTGGGCATCCACGGGGCGGTGAAAGGGCTATATACCGCATATGAAGTCGGCATGCGCCTGCGCGCCGCGTGACGTGAAATAGAGAAGAAGGAGGAAAGAATCCGCAGTTTGGAGGCTCGCGCGGAGAAGGCCGAGTGTGAGCTCAGGGAGCTTAGGAAGGCTCAAACCATTGAGCCGCGTGCGGTGGGTCAATCCAACCTGATCGTGGAGGAGAGGGTTGAGTCACGCCATCGCCGACCGAGACACGTCAAGCATGTTCGCCGTGGAGAATGCGAGGACCATGGGTTACGAACAAGGCTTCCATGTGGGCCGGAAGGTTGGCATCGACAAAACCAAAGAGAAACTTGCGGAGGAGGTCTGCCGATGCGAGAACCGGGGATTTAGGCACGGTTGGATCGAGGCACTTTCAGCCGCGAAGACTCTTCGTGCAAAGGGTGTTGATTCGGCGTTGCCGCTGTACCAACGTGATCATTTTCCCTTTTCAACCTTTGAAGTCGAAAAGAGTGACGATGAGGGAGACGCCGCATAAAAATATTCATTGTAATGCTCAAACGCAGATTGCATCTAAAATTATGTAATTATTAGTTGATCGAATAAACAGATTTTATTTTCAAAGTGTTTTGTTGTAATTTTCATTCGGCGCACACGTGTTTGCATGTTTTATTGTATAAATGTTTGAATAAACGTATTTTAGATGGTTGAATAGACATTGATCGGCCTGAGTTAATCATAACCAAGCATTTCATCCCAAATGTTTATATGCTTTGATATGTAAACGGTTTTTGCCAGCTCGCCATAACACAGCATTCTTCATTAAATATCGAATATGTTACGCATGGCCTGAACATCCACGAAGGGCACTTCGTGTTCGGAGGATTAATCGGCCCAAAGACGTCATGCGCCGATGGGGCTCCGTATCCGGAGACTATTTGGCCAATTGTGATATCCACGAAAGGCGCTCCGAATTTGGAGGCTTCATCAGCCCAAAGACGTCATGTGCTGATGGGCTCTGAATCTGGAGACTATTTGGCCAATCGTGATATCCACGAAGGGCACTCCGAATCCGGAGGCTTCATCGGCCCAAAGACATCATGCGCCGATAGGGCTCAGAATCTGGAGACTATTTGGCCAATCGTGATATCCACGAAGGGTGCGCCGAGTTCGGAGGATTAATCGGCCCAAAGACGTCATGCGCCGATGGGGCTCTGTATCCGGAGACTTTATTTGGCCAATCGTGATATCCGCGAAAGGAGCTCCGAATCTAGAGGCTTTATCGGCCCAAAGACGTCATGCGCCGATGGGGCTCTGAATCTGGAGACTATTTGGCCAATCGTGATATCCACGAAGGGCGCTCCGAATCCGGAGGCTTAATCGGCCCAAAGACGTCATGCGTCGATGGGGCTCCGAATCCGGAGACTTTATTTGGCCAATCGTAATATCCACGAAGGGCGCTCCGAATCCAGAGGCTTAATCGGCCCAAAGACGTCATGTGCCGATGGGGCTCCGAATCCGGAGACTATTTGGCCAATCGTGATATCCACGAAGGGCGCTCCGAATCCGGAGGCTTAATCAGCCCAAAGACGTCATGCGCCGATGGGGCTCTGAATCCGGAGACTTTATTTGGCCAATTGTGATATCCATGAAGGGCGCTCTGAATCCGGAGGCTTAATCGGCCCAAAGACGTCATGCGCCGATGGGGCTCCGAATCTGGAGATTATTTGGCCAATCGTGATATCCACGAAGGGCGCTCCAAATCCGGAGGCTTTTATCAGAACACCTTTGAACTGGATTTTGTAATGAGTAAATAGGGATCTTTGCATTATAGAAAATGAGATGTACATGGCGAACCGTTCAGAACAAGCATCATGTCCCACAAGTCGTGTCAATGATAAAATTTGCGTAAATGCGTGGAATTCCAAGGCCGTGGCAGACTCCTTCCTGACATGTCTTTGAGCCGATATGCCTCTGCTCCTGCGATTGAATCAATCTGATAGGGGCCGTCCCAGTTAGGACCCAATTTTCTATTCGCCGGTTTCTTGGCAGCTAGAAGTACCTTCTTCAGGACCAACTCTCCTGGTGTGTAGCGGCGCAGCTGAACACGTTGATTATACGACTTAGCAAGCTGCTGTTGATACCGCGCCATGGATGCGAGGGCACGGTCTCTTCGTTCTTCAATCAGAATCAAATCCAAGGCCAGCATCATGTCGTTTTGGCCCATATCAAAAATTGTTGATTTCAAGGTTGGGAGGTCGATCTCCAGGGATATGATTGCCTGGGTTCCAAAGCATAGGGCAAACGGTGTTTCCTCGGTAGATCGCCTCGGCGTAGTTCGATGAGCCCACAAGACACTCGACAATTCTTTGACCCATTTGCCTTTAGCTTTCTCCAGCCTCTTCTTGATGCCGTCCAAGATGGATTTGTTAGAGGCTTCAGCCTGACCTGTGCTTTGTGGATAGGCCGACGTGGAAAAATAAGGCCAGATACCGTACTTGCTGCACAACTTTCGGTAGACGCCACAATGAAACTGGGTGCCGTTGTTTGAGATAAGTGCTCTCGGAATGCCGAATCGTGTGATGATATTTCTCCAAATGAAGCGCTTCACGTCGGTATCTCGGATGTACGTTAGTGCCTCTGCTTCTACCCATTTTGTAAAATAATCTGTCGCGAGAATAAAAAATCGCTTGTTACCCGGGGCACAAGGCAGTGGTCCGACGATGTCAAGTCCCCATTGGGCGAACGGCCAGGGACTGGTTATGGAGCTTAGCTCTTCAACAGGCAAGTGGGTCAAAGGAGAGAACTTCTGGCACTGTTCACACTTTTTCACGTAACATTCGGCATCTGCCCTCATTGTCGGCCAGTAATACCCCTGTGTCACGGCTCGATGAGCCAAGGACCACCTGCCAGAATGGGCGCCACAACTGCTCTCATGTATTTCAGTCAGAAGCTCCTCGACTTTGTCCGGGTGCACACATTCCAAATATGGACCAGAGAGGGATTTTTTATAAAGTCTTCCTTGCAGATCCAAGTAATATCACAGGGCTTTGTTTCGCAGCTTGTGCGCTTTTTTCTTGTCCTCTAGGAGCTGTTCGGAAGACAGGAATGCAGCAATGGGATCCATCCAACTCGGTCTAGATTCTATAACATTGACCTGGACTTCCTTCAAAAGGCTAATGCTCAGCTCCGGGATGAAACCTACTTCGACGGTCCATTTAATCTTTGAGTTAATGGCGGAGGCTAGGCAAGCAAGGGCATCTGCATGTGTATTCTGATCACGTATTATCTGGTTCAATTCATGATGGTCAAATTTCCTAGCAAGGAGTTAGCCGTTTTCATGTAAGCCGCCATACGGTTGTTTCTTGCCGCGTACTCCCCCTTTAGCTGATTGATCACCAGTTTGAATCGCAAAATACAAGTCAACGCCGAGCACCCAGAAGATGTGCATTCCGCAAACTAGCTGGAAGGGCTTTGTATTCGGCTTCGTTATTTGACGCTTCGAAGCCGAGCTTGACAGCCTGCTCAATTATTGCGCCGTCGGGAGCCATGATTACAACTCGAGCTCCACTGCCCCACTGATTGGATGATCCATCACAATACAATTGCCAAATGTCCCCAACATAAATTCTCCAGTTCGGCTTCGGTCGAATTTCATTGGACTTGAAATCGGCAAGACCCCCAGTGAATTCGACAACAAAGTTGGCAAGCACCTATCCCTTGATTGAGGTTCTAGGTAGAAAATGAATGTCGTACTGGCCGAGTTCAAGAGCCCACTTTGAAACACGTCCTGACGTTTCTGCACTTCGTAGTACTGATAGGAGGGGATAATCTGTTAGCACCCCAATGCTATGTCCCTAGAAGTAATGCATCAGTTTTTTTGCCGCCATGACTAGGGCTAGGATGAGTTTTTCCAGCGGAAGGTAGCGTGTTTCGGCATCAACCATTGCCTTGCTCACATAGTACACTAGTCGCTGCTCCCCCAATTTTTCCTTTATCAGTGCAACGCTGACGGCCCTGTCGGAAACTGTCAAATACAAAATGAGCGGGTCACCAGCAGCGGGTGTTGTCAAGAGTGGTACTGAGCGGAGGTAGGCCTTGAGGCCGTTGAAAGTGTTCTCGCATTCCGCGGACCATTCAAAAGCCTTGCCCTGTCGTAGTGTATGAAAGAATTGTCGGCAGCGATCTGTGGACTGACTGATGAACTTGTTTAGTGCGGCGGCCATCCCCATTAACTTCTGAACTTCCTCGACCAATCGAGGGGAGTCGAGTTCTAGGATTGCTGTGATTTGCCTTGGGTTGGCTTCGATTCCTCGGTGGTTGACAATGTACTCCAAGAATTTGCCAGAGCTGATCCCAAACGCACATTTAGAAGCGTTTAGCTTCATTCTATATTT